CGGTCTCGTCGCCTCCATCCCCGCCGTGATCTGCGGCCTTGTCCGTTGCGCTTCCCACGGCTACCTGCTCAGCCGCCTCCTCGGGTGTCTCCTCGGATACCCGCTTGGTCGCCTCCTCTGGCACCTTCTCCACCGTCTCGCCATCCTCAAGTACACCTCCTAAAAAAAAAAAAAAGACATAAGGAAGCAAACTTATATCATTTTGTGTTATGTTCCGACCAGAGAACATACTTTTGGGGCTATAGTTCTTTACCTCCTGGAAGAGGGACAACAACCTCGGTCGCCAGCTCCACAGACACCACCGTCGGATCGGCAGCAATAGTAGCAAGCGCTTCTGGTGCAGGAGGCGACGATCCCGTGGTAGTAAGGACCGGCGCGGCCTTCATAGCGCGAAGATCGTGCAATCCCGAGGTCCCGCCATTGGTCCCCGAGAAGTTGCACACGCCTAGCGACGCAGCCGCAACCTCGACATGCTCGCTGTTATCCAACTCAACCGGTGGGGCACTGAGAATCTTCCTGAGGTTCTCTACCTCATCCGTAAGCCTTTGATGGGCTCCCGCCGATCCAGCCACTACCGCAGCAAGTTCTGCCTCCTCATTCACAAAGTCCGGAGGACTGTCACTCTGAGACAAGTTGTAAGTTGCTCTCAGCCTGAGCCAGGTCGAAACTCTCCCCTCTAGCCTCCTCAACGACATCCAACTGCCTCTGAATCCGAGTCAGAGTCTCCCGAAACTTGATCGCCATCTCGACCCTCGCTCCGTGAACCGCTTGCTGCACACTTTCCTCCCGTTTCTCGTGCAACCTCAACTTGGTGTAACAATCTTGTAGCCTCTGGAAGCGACGGTCGTTGGACGCGGTCAGATCATCATTCTTCTTCTGCACCTTGCTGAGCTGGTCGCGAAGTCGCGTCATCTCAGACTRCGAGTCAGCAAACCGCTTCTTCGCCGCACTCGCTTRGTCTTTGTACCTCTCYGCATCCCGCTGCACACTCTCGAGGTGACGCTTACCTGCCCTGGACTGCGCCTCGTAGTCCAAAACCATCTTGTTAAGATGGGCGATGAACTCCCAACGACAACAAAGCACGTAATCTTGAAGACACGGAGGAAGGATGCGACATACCTGGATCCCATGACGAGCAGTCGCGGCGTAGTTCCCGTCGCCCTCCAGGGTATCGGGCGGAGGG